ATTGAACTGAAAGGTGGTCTGTATAAAACGTGGATGATAATGTTTTTTGTGGTTTTATTTATTATTTCCTCGCACAGTGATTCACAATCATTAGTGGTTGAACACAAATCTTTTCTTAGTTTGTATACTAAAGTATTGCTTATAAATACACACAAACCCCCTCCTTTCTTCCCAGATTCTCTAAATTGATGAATCACTTTAAAATTTGGCAGCTGAAAATTTGTATTTGACATAATATATTCATCAGTACACCAACTTTCGCTGAGACTAATAATTTTAAAATTGAATTTAATCTTGCATAAAAATTGTTTAAATGATTCAAAATTTTTTGAAATGCTCCTAATGTTTAAATACAAAATTGAAAATGAATTTACATCTATTCCTTGCATTATGTTTGCAGATTTAGGGTTATAATATAAAGTATTAATATTTTGAAAAGCTTTATTATTATTATAAAAACTAATATCTGGGTCAGAAGTTTTATCTATAAGTATCCTATTTTTATTTTGTAATGAATTAAATTCTAAGTTAATTGAATCATTATTATCATTCATAAGAAGGGTGTTTTTTTTAAAAAAAAAACTGTTAAAAAGAGTAAAAAATAGAAAAAAATAAAAATAAATAAAGTAATTAAGCACTCGCTTGCTTTTTGCTAAATTCTCTAACTATAAGTTTATCATATTTTATTAAAACAACAAAACAACAAAACTTCCTAACTTTTCTCAGTAGGTAGTGGGAATAATGCGAACCGGTAAAATGCGAACTTTTTTTACGAACTATAGTTCTATTGATTGTTTATGATGTAATATTTTTCATTTTTCGTTTGCCGTTAAATTGTTAATTTTACGATATATTTTATAGACTTAAGCAAAAACATAAATTCTATTTAATTTAAACGAAATATAATCTAATTTAAATAAATCGAATTCCATTATATTTAATTTACATTTATATTAAATTGTTTTATTTTTTATTATTTAAATTTATATTTATTTATTTTATAATTATATTAATTCAAAAAATTGACGAGCAAACGTTTTTTTAAATATCGCAACTGTTGTGGTCATTAAAATATGTCTAGGTTCGAAAAAAAGTTCGCATTTTACCTGTTCACAGAGGCAGAATTGCTTTAAAATGTTTTCTCTGTCTTCGTGCAGCAAGCGATATGCTCTTGTAGCATTATGAGCGCTCCATTCGTCACTTGAAAGACTTCAGACTTGTACATCACTGAATGTCTTCGGAAACATCTTTTGTCATTATTACCAAACACAGCTTTCTCTCAGAATTTTCTAAACTGCCCTGAGCAGCGCGTTATTATAAGGTAAGGGGCAATTGTAAAAGAAATCTTGTTGCTAGGCAACAAATCAGTTAAAGATTGCAAAAAATTCAAGAAAAAATGGATAGCAGCGTAGTAAAAGGTAAGTGAAAGCAAGATCCAGGTCATGGTGGCACCAACTCTCAAAAAATTCAATTAATTTTCTATGCATCCTCAGAAATCTGTACCAATTTTTTTTTTTTTTTTTTTTTATTACCTTTGCCGTTTGATAAAATTTACAATAAGAAAGATCGTACATATATAATATATGGCCGGAGCAAGAAGACGACGTATACTGTCTTATCTCTAAGCCCCGTTTACATTGTTGCCTTCAGTTTATGTAACAAGTTAAAAATTACAATATACAACACAATATATTACAAGTAGTAAATCGTATAATAAGATATATAAATAAACATTTTTTTTTAGTTATATATATATATATATATATATATATATATATATATATATATAAATATATATATATATATATATATATATATATATATATATATATATATTTATATATATATACATATATATATATATATATATATATATATATATATATATATATATATATATATATATATATATATATATATATATATATATATATATATATATATATATATATATATATATATATATATGTATATATATATATATATATATATATATATATATATATATATATATATATATATATATATATATATATATATATATTATTTATAGATAAGAAATAAATCAAGACAAAAATAAGAGAATCGTGATGACTTTTTCAGTTTAATTATTTTAGGTACTATTTTTAAAAGAAATTTTTAAAATCGAAGTTTTTTCCTAATAGAAAACGTTTAGATTCTTTTTTGAATTGTTCTAGGGAGAAGTTTAAAAGAGTTTTATTTTTAATAATATTTTTCAAAAAACTTTTTTATATAAATGTTCCACGGTATTGAATTTGAAATGAGCTAAGTTACGTAAGATCTAGGAATAACAAACATATCAACTGAAAATTTTGTGGGGTATTTATGAGCAATTTCAGTGAAGTAAGAGTGAAATATATTAGGAGACAAACCATATTTTGATTTAAACATTAGAAGCATAACTTGGTATATATTAATTTTATAAATATTAAGCACATTAAGTTCGCTTAGAAGAGATTCACCATTAACAGTTCTGTAA